AATTTATTATTATTATATTATTATTCCTTTTATTAATGTCGGAGAACGGGCTGGCGTCAATACGCAGTTTCGGCCATAATTAGCCTATTGCAGCGCGCGTTGTTACCTCTTCCAGTTTCTGTCTGACGGTCGGTCTTCCTGTCGCTTTTCTCGTCTTTTTTCCTCTAGCCTACTCTGGACGTCTTCCCCGTTGCGCGTCAGTTTTTTTTTTCCCTTTACTCATCAACAGGATTAATTTTCTTCTCTCTATCTATAGTTGCATCCAACTGGATTCGACTAATGCTCTAAATTCTTTCTTAATGCATTATTGCATATTCGCGTAATATTACATCCGGTTATTTACAATCCGGATTTCGAAGTTGCATCGATTGAATCTTATTTAATAGTTGCCTTCTGTTCGACATTATCCGTTTTTGAATATATTGCAACTTTTGATCATTATTTATATCTTTGTATCTATACAGTAGGCGTGTTATTTTTTTTCGTCCAGAGATCGTCCACTGTTTAGCTGCCTCAAATCGTCCGTGTTGCTTATTATATCAGGCGACCGTGCTGCGTTCTGCCGTCTCGTCCATCCTGACGAAAAAGAATTAAAAGTTCAACAAGTTAAAATTTGTCTTCTGAAAAAAGCCAGTTTTGATTTCGAATGGATTCATATCAGCCGACGTAAAATAAAGAGGCACTTAAAATTTCTTTTTAAAGACATATCTGAATCTCGTGAGTGTCTTTTAGATGTGTAAAAATTAAGGATTGTCTTTTTTTTATACGAATCGTTAAAAAAAAAGGGTTTATTTTATCGTTCAGTGTTTTTTTTATTATTTATTGTTTCAAATAGAATTGTTTCCCATCAAGATAATATTATGTCAAAGGTTTGCAAGATGGGAGAAAAAGCTAAACTATTTAGCATGTCGTAAACAGTAACGTTAATAAACGTTCTTGCAGTCGTCAATAATCTCATGTAATAATTAATAAAACGTTCTTAATAAATTTATCTCGACATAAAACGTAAATACAACTCGACAAAATATTGCCGACAGCACACATACCTGTTATTAGGTCTTAACAAGGCTCAATGGTAGCCATTAGTGAACGCCGCTGGTATTAGAGGACCCTGGAACAATACAATATATCGGTCTCATCAACCTTCCCATAAAAATAATGATTATTACACAAGGATGAGCATAAAGATAAACCTTTACGTTTGCCTGCATATCTAAAATTGCAGCGTGCAATTGCGGTACTTGGCCTTTGAGGTTATTAAATCTTTTTTTTTCTTTTTTGCTGTTTCTCAAAATTCCATAATATATATATTGTAGATAATAATAAGTGACAAAAATGCAAAGGATAATACGCGAAGTGATGTTACATGGGTAGAGTCTTGGATATATTAAATATATATTGATATTGCAAAGAATGAATAGATTAGATAAATATTAAATTTATTTTCGATACAAGCCAATGTAATAATTGTCATACTATACCTGACGGACCAGAGATGTATTCAGAAAATATAGAATCAGAATATAGAATGTATAAAGCGTATATAATATGTACATAGAAGCAATCTTCTTTTGTGAGATTGATAACCGGTTGTATTAAATATAATATATATTCGCAAGAAGATATCGTATCTCCACACATTTGCTTGTTATAAATGCATAAAGCTGATGAAATTGCAATATGGAACGAAGCGATAAAGAGCTTGGTCGAGGGTCAAGTAATTTTTTAATTTTGCAATATTTTGTTACATTAATGTAAAATTCATTTCAAATTTTTGCATGCGATATAAATGTTTAAAGAAAAAAAAAAAAAAAAAGTATATGAACGTACATTTTTGCATCAAATTTATCTGGATAATTTGTTTATTTTATCAGTCGCAAAACATTTGTTGAGAAACGTTTAAATATCGAGAATATATTTGATCTTCTGTATTTACTATAATTAAAATGCGACGTAAAAACTTTCTTTAATTAGCTTTTTTTCCATAATCGTTTCCAACTGTTACTTCCTCTGATATCTTCCGGTTTAACCTCGTATCTGTTAATTAAAATGCGAAATTTTATTTAGTCGATGAAATTCAATTAATGCGTAAAGTGAATTGTGAGGAGAGAGAACAATTCACTTGTCGTGGATGCAATAGAAGAATAAATTAGAAGTGAGTGAGTCATGTACGATTATCTGTTTTTATCGTATAATAAAGTACGGAAGTACACACAGACTCTTATTGAAAATACGACTAGGCCTCTTTCATCCTTTCGTTCCATTTTATTATCGGGAGGGGCCCGATCCGATGAAGTAAGGGAAAGCATTAAGTGGACTTACGGGACTGTAGTTGAGCGGGGCACGGGATACGGCGATCGCGGGGAACGCGGTCGTGGGGGGCTGCGGGCTAGCTGCGGCCTGGACGTAGCTTGCGACTGCGGAATCCGCGGCTGCGGCTGCTGCTGCGGCGGCGGCGCTCGAGCTGTACATGTCAATCGGGCCCGGTGAATTGGCCGCCGGGAAAGACCGACCCTGCGGCCCACCGTGGCCGCCGGCCGCGTGCGGCGACGCCGGCGGGAACCCGGCCTGCGCTGCGGCCGCCTGGTAGTTGTTCATCACTGCAACGAACCCGCGTCAATCTTCACCCTCTTATCCGATCGAACGGACTTGACGTCGTTTGAGTCTTGACTCTTGAGACGAGAGGAAGCCTCACGAGTGAGGCTCCTCCTCGCCTTCCGCGAAACCCGCCAAAAGACACCAAGACACTTGGAAATTTCCTTCCGAATTTATACTTTGTTAAGAAATGCCATGAATAATCATTATTCTTTAAAACATCCTCAATTACTGTGGCCCAGTTGATTTTTAACACAATGCATAATCCACTGTAGTTTGATCATTCTTGTAATAACGTTATCGTTTTACATTAATATCAGTTTGTTTTTATTTATTTTCATTATCCGAAAGAAAAATTTTTCTTACAAAGTCAATGTACGAAGGTTTCAGCTTTGACTGCGTCAGAGTAGTTGAGGACAAAATCCAAAAAGATGTCATCTCTTTTATCTAACCGTTATATAACTGCAGATTAAATGATCGTTAAACCGCGTGTAATTTTCAATCCTGTAATTGTAGCGTAAACTGTTTAACAACAATTAAACATCTGAGTGACAATTATGGGACATGTATATTCGGATTGTTTCATTCTACCCGCGATAGCGATACGAGCGTTGCATGCCTTATCCTTTTTAGGAATCTTCCATGCAAGTACCTTGAGGCACATTGCTCCGTTGGCGTTTGCCCCTAGTTTTTAGTTTTTTCGTCGCTTTCCGCTTACTAATATCAAACTCATTTCAGTTGTATAATGATACGCTCTAGCAGGTTAAATCTCATTAGAGATAAGGTTCTTTAACTCATATATATATATATATATATATATACATATACTATAGTGTGATGTTCGTTGTAACGAGCTCACGCATATTCGTGCACAAATGAACGATAATCTCTGGTCTACATTTTACTTCGAGGACTGTGCATGTTAAATGATCAGGTAAAAATGATGCCGTCATATCGATGAGTACACATCTCGTTTGCATACATTGAATACAAGGAAAAGGATAGAGTCCATTTTTAACGAGTATCTTCTCGTAATTTCGTAATTGGAAAAGAAAGAGGAAGGAATGAAAGAAGACACTCATGAAGCGCATTGCAAGGCAGCCTTTACGTACGATCATAGAGATAATAAGAAAGCGCCTTGCACATATACATATATGTATGTATGACATTGTACAACACGTCAGTGGGACAAGCAACGCAATCGCACGAGGCAGTGATGGCGATCGACTTTGAAAAGTTACGAGATACAACAGGCTTTCGACTACGATTACTGTTCTAATGTTTGGTTCGTACGAGGGTTGATTTTCCTTCGTGTTCTTAAGAAGTCAAACGTAAAAATTGACAAGGTTCGTTCGATTAGAAAGGCCAAGCGACGAAAACTAAACTTACCCCATTTCGCGTGCAGCTCTCGAAGTAAAGACCCCGCGTGAGATTACAACGAGGGAAAATCAAATATGAGACGACACTATGATGCGGATAATTACGAAATTTCGTGCATTGGTAGATAAGTTTAACATTTAATTGTACCAATACTTTTTTAAAATAACACATGCATTTTTTTGTTATTGAATTGATTTAATCTAAATATAAATCTGAGGATTACTAATGGAAATAATAAATTATTTCATTCCTCGCGTCGATTATAGCGAAAATAAGGAAAATTCGAAAGCAATTTTTCTATTTCTTTTAAAGAATTTAATAAAATAATCGTGTTCTCCCTTTTGCATCAAATTCAATTGTGTTGGCAAGAAAAAATAATATTAAATAATATTGAAAATAATATTAATCTAATAGATCAATAAACAATACCAATCTAGAGCTAATTTTTCACAAATAATTGTACATTAAATAATGTTCTTTCTAATAATATAAATCTTTCGGGTATCTCTAATTTTTTACTATGCCTTTGTCTGCTTTTGCAACTGGAATATTTCGTGCAGTGAAACGACATGGGAAATATATGTAACTTCTGCGAGCTTTTTCTGCACGTTAACGAATGATATTTGATACATAATGCACAGCAAGGATTAAGTACTAATGCGATTACTATGTTTATAGTATGTTCGAAACTCTCTTTCTAAACCCCTGCCAACAACTGCTCTTCGTTCCCATACATACAAAAGTAACAAGGAACGAAATCATAGCGAAACTACTCTACGCTACTTTCGAAGCTGTATCACACACACAGGAAAACAGTGTCTCGGCGTGTCGTCCGCATTCTGAAACTTTAGTACTCGTAAAAACTCTGACAGATAGCCAATAAGAAGCGGCGGAGATTAATGCATCTGACTCGAGCAATTCCGTATATCGCGCTCACGTTGTTCGCGCGCAAGAGCTCGCGTAAATGTCATACGGTACGTACTTTCGGATTAACGGCGGTCACGGAAGCGAAGGAAGAAAAAGACGACAGGAAAAACAAGAAGGAAGAAGAAGAAGAAGAAGAAGAAGAAGCGAAAGAAATAGCAGAGAAGAGAGTGGGTGTGCGGTAAGGAGAAAGAGAGCGAGAGAGTGAGAGAGCGGGAGAGAGAGAGAGAGAGAGAGAGAGAGAGAAAGAGAGAGAGAGAGAGATCGTAAGCGGGCGGTACGCGAAGAATTTGAAACTCTCTCGAGTCTCGAGGCAGGCGAGGAAAAGAGAGACCGATGCGGTGACGACGGGGCCACGGGAAACCGAAAACGCGCCCCGGCGCGTATAATCTAAAAACCCATTCAGCTTTTAAACTCTTGACAATGGCGGCCGGTTACAAAGTTTTGCGCTGGTACCATAGCGAGAGGAGGGCGCGTAGGGATCGTAGGGGTCGGAGGAGGAACGAGCGCGATTCAAAAGTTTGATTTATTTGAGAGAAGATTGCGGACGGCACGACGCGACGGCGGGCAGATCGGGGGCAGATTCTAGATGGGGAGTACGAAAAAAAGAATAGAAGAACTACAGAGGCGTATTTCGCTGCCGGCATCCCGGCGCCTTCGCATGTGTGGCGCTTCTCTTCGGGAATGCCTGTATGCCGCTTGATCGCCTTCTTTTCCTTCCGTTCTGCCGCGTCTCATCTCCGTGATTCGACAGGAAGCGATGATCGCGTGATAACAGAGAGATGAAAAGTAATGAGACGGTAGTTTGGATCTGTTAGGATTCAATAATATTTTTCTTTAGGAAATCACGTTATTTTACAACGAGATGAAGGAAGGTCTGTAAAGAAACAGGAAGTTTTCGTTAAACTGAAAAATTATTCGTCTCTGCTTTTTTCAACTGGCGGAATAAGCGACAAGATTTCACTTACTTTATTGATATTCCGAAAATAACATCACGAATGACGTTAATGACTTCTTACATATATACATATGTAAGATAGTTTCCTTCGGTTGTGTTAAGATTTATATATATATATATATATAATGCGGTTAATAAAATATTTCTATGTATAATAGTCATGCACAGTAATGATATCAATCATGCACAGTAGCCATGCTTTCAGTTGTTCGCGTACACGAATCGTAATCGTCTTCTGAAATTACAGACATTAACCGATCGAAATCTTTCTCCGACTGTTATTATTTCACTGAATGGAGATTGATTCTTGAAAATTAACATGAAATGGTAAAATTTGAAATCTTAAAGGATAACGTTTCGCAAAGTTATCCATTTCCATACTTAGAAGTAGAATTGAGTTTGAGAAAATATCGCATCAAAATACTGGACGTATTAAAATGAGATGGCAGAAGCAATGATTGATTCAAACGTAATATTGCATTTAATGTTTTATTCCGCAATATTCCGGTTCGTGCGACCGTGAGTATTCTCTCAAAGATATTGCGCACAATCCTTACTGCTTGCAATCTCGCGTGACTAGTTAGCGAAAAAGCCATCATAGCCGAAATTGTTTGCATTTCTGAGCGAATCGATCGCGACGCGATGAAGCGAGTTGAGAAAGCGCATTACATTCGTAGTCAAGGAGAAGAAAAACTTTAAAAACGTACCAGAAAGTGCTTGTGTAAGTAAGGGCGTGTTGTTGTTTGGGGTGAGTTGTCCATTGGTTAGATCCACTGAAACATAAAACTTCGGTCACAACTGCGCCATACTTGAAACATACGTAGGTATGTGCTGCTGCTATTCATTTTCCTCGACTATCACTCGGCAATAGTCTAAAAGCTAATATGTATATATATATATATATATATATATATATATATATATACGCTTTGAAATATATAAAAGTTCACAAAGA